TACCTATAATACCCGGTAGGGCTTGGGGTTGTGGGGTTTCATTCATCATGTGTAACTCATACCCCTGACTCCTGTTCCTCTGAAAATTCGAAAGCCAAGTCCTCCGCGAAGCATAGCCCCAAACCCAAGCACAAAGCATTCCAAAAGTCGAAGCCCCGAAACCTAAAATCTTCAACCCCAGAGAGAGCCCTAAACCGTAAAACCATGGCCCTGAACCCTAAAGCCCTAAAGCCCAAGACCCTAAGACCTAAGCCCAACTGTCAGGCTGGCTGATGAAATGGGTACGCAGCTGTCGAAGTACCAAGAGATCTATGAGAAGCTGATCGAGGTCCAAGGTAACATCATGGACAACCCTTCCAAGCAACTATGCTTATTAATTGCCCATCTATTCTAGGTATGAACCCGCTGTGTACGGCACTGCCCTTGCCTGGAGCAAAGCCATGCCCCCAAGGTCCTGGAAGGATGCACTTGTCAAGCAGTTTGTGGATTGCACCAAAGCAGACGTTACTATGAACAACTTGCTGTCTCGTGCAAGGTGGGAATGATAAATGTTCTTGTTTGATCGGGGCTTCGGCTTGCACTAGCCGTGTAGCTATATTCTAGCTAGCATATACGTGCCAGGAGTGTGAAAGCGCCGACTTCGAAAAAGGAGAAGGATACCCCGGAGAAAAAGTCTGGCAAGAAGAAAGGCAAGGACAAGCGGGAGAAGAAGGTGAAAAAGGACGCCAAGTCAGAGGGTGCACCCTCGAGCAAGCGCCGAAAGACGCGCTGAGTTTTTCGATTCATCCGGGTTCAGGGCCTGCTTGAGTCCAGCTATCTGTGAATCATGCACACACACTGGCACACATGAACCATGCATAATTACATGAGTGGCAAAGCTGTGCACTCTCATGCAGAGCTCCTGCTGACTGGGGCAACAACGGCAGCTGTGCTTCTAGGCACTTGCTGACTGCTTGCAATTAGGGTACGACACTCATGCAACTGGGGTCAAAAAGTGCTGCTTGCTCTGCCCTCGCTTCTCCTGAGATGTTGTGGTGGTCGCTGATGCCCGCTGCCTGTGTACATGTGCCAGGTTCACGCACGCTGAGGCGGCTTTTGGGACCAGGTGCAGGCGCGGGTTGTCTACATATGATAACCTAATGTATGATGTAGCTGCCACTAAGGCCAAGAGGATGATGACGACGAGGATGCAGAGCTGGCGCAAGAACTGATGCATGACTACCTTTCCGGAGCCCCTAGGCTTAACTATCTATACATGTTGCATCTGTCACAGGCAACTGTGTGCTGCAAAGGCCGAGTCTGCTTGTCGAACGAGCAAGATTGCCAAGATGATTTGTCGTGTGCGACAGAAGCGACCCCTGGTTTGCATACAGCGCTGTTCCAGGCTCTAATGATATAGCAATGTGATTGTGATTCGGGGGTTATGTCTTTGGATGGTGTGGTATAGTGTCGTGGTGTGGCATGGAGTGGCTTGGTGAAGTGTGAGGTGTGGGGTGTGGAATGTGGAGTGTGGAATGTAGGGTGTCTGTTGTGTGTTTTTTTTTGTGTGTGTGTGTGTCATGTACTATATACATGCTTCGTGCTGTGTGGGGTGGCATGATTGGGGTCGGGCTGCCCATGTATACATGCATGATCCAAGGTGGCAAGCCAGACTTGCTACACAAGCTTGCCAAAGCTGGCACAAGCCGCACGAATGTTTGCCGAAACCTGCATATACTGCTTGAGAAAAGTGGTGCTCAATACCCAGTTCCCCTGACAACTGTGCCAACGACAATCAGACTTCGCAAGCCTCGGCCGCACGATGAAGTTTTGCAGTGGCCTGTCATTCGGATCTCTGATTGGGCCCGTGTGCTTCTGGAAAACAACCCGGCCTACCTACTGGGCGGCTGCAAGCTAGAAGATGAGCTTGGATGGTCAATGATCTTTTCGAGCTTTTGGGAGAATTATCGTTCCATAAACCCCAGCCATGCAGCTTACACCTCAGGTCTTGAATTGTCGAGGCTGATACCTTATGCAATTCATGGTGATGAAGGCCGAGGCCTCCGAGGCAAACCATTTTTAGTGGAATCATTCCAACCGATCATCTCGAAATATGGGCCATTTGTTACGAATGAGTCAGGGCAGCTAGCTTGCACTGATGGAATGACAGCACCCGTTTATCTTATTTCTTTGAATTTGCATATAATAAGCCGTGGTAATTGCACATAAGCGCTGTAGTAAGGTCGGTAGTACACTACTAGGTTTGAGCAATGCGAAAGGTATCTAGAGGTCTAGCTTCATTCATCGGCCCATAGTTCTACCTCCCCAACAGCTTGCTCATGTGTAATATGAACCTGTCTACACTTAAAGTATGTTGCCCGTCGGCCCACTCCAAATCGATGTAGTGGCCTGAACCCACGACTCGGCAGTGTACCTAGTTGTACTTGCAACTGTTGTTCTTGGCACCCGCCACCGAAACCCCCAAGCTCAGCTGAGGCATTCATTGACCACAAGATTTTTGACAGTTTGTATCTCCTCCCACCTGTTCGCCGGCGACAAGACCCTGTACGATCTACATTCAGCAACAGCGGACACTGCTGAAGACATTTTCTGGAATGGGGTTGAGGCTGCTACAACTGATTTGGTTGGAAGATATGGTGCTACTAAGTTCAGTACATTGTATATCAGGTTAAAACCGTGCATTTAAAAAACAATATCACGGGCTATCTGAGGTCTCGGGCATCCGCTTGCATATGGCCTGCATTGCCGGCAAAGGAGATTGGAAGTATCTCCGCCAGGCACGATTCACCCTAAACCCTGAACCCCTAAACACTAAACATATAGTACACCGGCCTAAAGTAAACCCTACAAAAACACAACCGGTTGTAATCATATATGGCTGCAACCTTATACTAGCCTATCATAAGAAATACATTGTGCAGCCCAATCTACCCTACAGCTAGCTCTAAACACCAAGTTTCCTCCCAAGCTGGCCAGGCTTACGAGCTGTCCACTGGGTACAACTGCAAGGAGAAGTGTCACCTTTGTCAAGCGGAGGTTTCGTGGCTGTTGGCTTCAATATACTTTAAACGTTTATAGGCCTTATTACTAATTTTCGGTTTATTTGTACGTACAATTGAGGATTGGCATGTTCTCTCGAAAGATGCATGCTGGCGGGAAACCATCGGCTGCCGAACAACCAGCCCTCACAAGACTGACGATATCCCTCTGTTCAGAATTCCGGGATTGCAGACGAATACAATCATGACCGATCCTATGCACACATTTCATCTTGGATGGGGCCAGGATTTGGCAGCTAGTGCAATTATCCTTTTATGCCGTTTGGGCGAGTTCGGCAATGATCGTGCACTGGATAGCCGATTGCATCGAGCATACACAAGGTTCGTGGCCTACTGTGCTAGGACTGGGCGAACCACAGGCTGTGACAAGTTCACGAGAATAGCTTTCGATATGGAGAAGCTATAAACTCAATTGGTATTTCGTTTGATTGGTCGATCGCAGTAGCGGCTAACATAGGTCAATCCAAGTCTTATACGGAATCATCTTTAAGGAACAACAACGACTGGCCGACATCTCTTGGTGGCAAGGCTTATGATACCTTCTTGGTTTTGGCTTGGATCGAGGACCACCTCGCGAACGCGGTTTCCTTTTGCGAAAGCTTGAGCATGATGTTGGAACAGCTAGTAAATTGGCAAACCCTGTATGTACAAATAGCTAGCACTAGAAGTCGAACTAATTAAAACCCAAGCCCCAACTCCAACTCCAAACCGATCGAGCTATCCCAAGGCAAACCAGGATCCTGATGTGCAGACCCTGCAATACACAGTGGCCTGTGCAAACTTCTACTTCCGGACTCAGCGAGAACATGGTGTGTTCCTACCCCACGAAACAAGGCTGTTGGTAGCAGCTGCTGGTCAAAATATGGAAGTTCCTTGCCTAGAAGAAGCCCTCACGTGTAATTCTATATAGGGTAAATCGTGTAGTTGTGGGCAACCCCTGGCTCAGGAAGGCTTCGGTCGGCTAGCTGCTTCAGCAAAGACCCGGGGATGGAAGTTATTCCGCCTTCGGCCTAAAATCCACATGTCCCAACACCAGAGCTTGAACAACCTACTTGGTGATTCGCTGGCAATCAACCAGCTATGCCTTTCGGATGCAATACACGAGCTATGACTAGCATGAATGGTCAGCTTGAGTATGATTGCACCTCCCGAGGTTTCGCATGCTGGCAAGATGAGGACTTCATTGGCAAGTGCAGCAGACTTGCCAGAACCTGTGGCCCTCAGAAGTTGACAAGCCGGTGCATGGAGAAGATGTTGGGAATGTACAAAAGGCAATTAGGGTCCAGCTAAAGTCCCGGAGAACCAAGCGCGAATAAAAAAGCTCAGGTCGCGGCCTCTTCGGCTGGATGTCGAAGGGACATGAGCATCACATCATCGATTAGAGCATTGGGGGATTTATCATCTTCCCAACCTACGAACACTTTTCCGAAGTTCGTATCGGTTCCTTTCCGGTTCGAACCACTTCCTGGGTAAACGCACAAGAAACATCGAAGCAACAGGGAAAAGTACTACAAACACAAACGAGCAGAAATAAGCCATCAAACGAACTTCTAGGAAGAGTTTGTATGTTCAAATATATATATATATATATATATTATGTGTATATGTATAGATATAGATATACATATGTGTATATACCTCTGTATATGTGTGTGTGTGTATATATATATATATGTAGCCAGAAACTTCAACGCTATACGTGACGGTGCAATTTTTGAGACTATCCCCTAAACCCTGGACTAAACCATGGAGGCTGTCTAAACCTTTCTAGAGTGCAGACTGCTGTTTAGAAAAGGAGTTCAAAAAAAAGAGACTTAATCACTTAATCATGGACTGAGTTCAAAAACAAGCCCCAGACTCAACCTAAGCCCGAAGCCCTGAGCCTCAACCCCGAAGCCTCAACCGTGGGAGTCTTCGGGCAGCTACGACTTGCTCACGAAGGAGCATCTGCTCAGCAAGGGGTTGATGGAGCTGAAAGGCATCAAAGGAACCCGCATCTCGGTCGACTCTTCGAGGGGTTTCGGGTTTCGAGTCCGTCCATAGGGTTGCGAGCTGTCAGAGTTAAGGGGTTGTAGAGCTTGTAAAGTTAAGTTGTGGGCTTTGGGGTTGAGGTCAGGATTTCAGTATCAAGCCTCAAGCAGCTCGAGCTTGCAGTTGTCGATTTGCATGCCCAAAGGCCCTTCAAGGAACCCTTAAAGGAATCCTACAGATCCCTTAAAGGAGCCCTTAGAGGAAAGCCTAAAGGACCCCCTTTAGATCCGCAGCCCTGACACCATGAACCCCAAGACCCTGAACTGCAAGCCCTGTTGCCCTTCAAGAGTAGAGCCCGAAACGGGAGTTTCCGAAAATTTGGGGGTTCTTTCTAATAAGGATCCTACTATGTAGGGTACTATATTAGGGTCCCCTATTTTCGGAAACTCCCAAATTGTAAATTCCCGACCTCCTAACGAATCTAAGTAATCTAAGCCGAAGCCTGAACCCTAAAACACGGAATCTAAACCTAAGCCCAAGCAAGCCTCGGGGATCAGATTTGTTCGCGCGATTTGGGGGCGACTCCCACATTCAAGGTTTGAGTCTCTATTGTTTCAGGGCTTCGGGGGATCAAGACTCAGGGAAGGAAGGTTAATATAAACGCCTTAATCAGTACTTATACTATTTGGGGGGTTCATCCCAAGACCCGAATCTAATGCTTCCGGACATAGTATTATCAGGAACCGAAGAAGCACCCAAACATAAACTTTCGGGTGGGATATCCCAATCTTACTGGCTCAATTCAAGAGGGGATTCTGGGATATCCCAACCTTATGGTTTTTGTTTAGGTCCTTTTCTGGGTCCCTATATTAGGTCTTTTCGGGTTGGGGGCGTTTTGAATTTTGGGGTGTCGGGGGTCTTGTGGTTCAAATCTAATTTTCCCCAGTGCCTTGGCGTGAGTAGGATTCAAGGCTAAACCCCCAAACCCTCCCGACACACTCTGAAGAAAAAGCCATTGCAGTGGCCCTAAACCCTAAACCCAGGAGTGGCAGCCATCGATCTCACTAGGTTGCCCTTGGCTGGTCAACGCAGAGAGGTGCACTTAGTGCGCGATGGCCACTCGTCTTGAATGGGCTGCTGATAGAATCCAAGAAAGAATGCAGAGAGAGAGAGAGAGAGAGAGAGAGAGAGAGAGAGACAGAGAGAGAGAGAGAGAGAGAGATGGAGAGAGACGACCCGACAGACCGTCAGACAGACGGAGACAGTAGTTAGTACAGATTGTTTAAGCTTCACAGAATTTCTTCCTTGAACTATGCCACAGGATCCTTAGTTCAAAAATAGGCTCCTTATTTGGCAACAGCTGGGAAATTTCCTACTGCTGCCAAACTAGGAAGGCGATTTTGGAGACGGGCATTGTGAACAGCTGCGACATGTCCTTCCATAGCCAGCCCCGTTTTTAGGGTTTAGGGTTTAGGGACAGAAATGCGGCCGGCTGCCCCTTCCTGCTTCCCAAGCTGAAAGCCCAAAGCGGAAAACCCGGAAAATCTGAGGAGCAGAGTTGGCTTTGGAGATCCAGAATGACCTGGGGGTGCCCTGTCCTCGAGAAATCGAGATCGGTCATCGCCGTCAACATGCTTACTAAGTGTGCAAGATCATTTCTTTCTCTCATTGTCAACACGCCAGCGGCATCAACCGTGGAGGAAGGGAGAGAACAAGCAGCACAACAAGCCCAGAACCATCACCAAAAACGGCAGCAACCATTATACACAGCAACAGTACTGACAACAACGACGAAGCCGGCCACGACGACGACCATCGCGACGACGACGACGAAGACGACCATGGCGAGGACGACATCAAGGGCGACGACCATGACGAAGGCGATGACGACGACGAGGACATTGATGACAAGCAGCGACAACTAGAGTCACTACAAACACACAGCAGCAACAAGGAGCAGCAGCAGCAGCAGCAAAAGCAATGTGAGAAACACCCACGTCGTCTGTTCCACCATTTCCAGGGTTCCAACCTTAATGATAAGCCAGCTCCGCGCATTCCTGTATGTTCATACCCTCAAATCTAAACGTGAAACCGTAAACCTTATCATGTAGGGGTTCACAGTATATAGTTGGCACATTCGGGTTCGAGGGCTCACCGGGGATTTGAGGATTTCGTTCGACACAGCCTGCGTACCGGATACCTGTTTCTTACCCTGCATGCAGCCTGTGATCCCATCTTATTTGATTTTCAAGGCCATAGACAAGTTTTGGCGCCCACAAAAAATAAGGCTCCCGCCCAGCGTCAGGGATAGTATGGGGGCCTCAACCGTTAGAATCGAGTTTCGGGCTTTTTTATATCATAGCTCTCTAGCTACATTGAAGCCCCGAAGGTTTTGGGGTATATGATCTTCTCAAGGAGCCCGGAGGAACCCTATTCTCGCTGTTTTTAAGGCTCCGATGTGAATTTGTAGCGTCGTGAGACTGAGGACGAGGCAGTGACCAAGGTATCGTTGGCGTCACCTGGCTCGCGGTTTGAGGGCTTAGCTCACCGTTGTTGTGCTTGTTTTTTTGTACTTGCAATTGTCGCCCAACAACATCACAAACCCTAAGGCATGGGATTTGCTGGTTTGGGCCTTAGGGTTTAGGGCCTTACGGGCTTCAGTGTTTTGGGCCGGTAGATCCTCAAGCATGTTGTGCAGTTTGGAAGGTATTTTACATCAGAGTATTATGGATGTTGTTCAGGGATCTTGAGCCGAGTCGTATGTTCACCCCAGGCGCCATAAGTCAGAAGTGGGAATATCAGAGTATACGGGACTCCAAAATAGGCATGAAATAGTGGGATAATTGCTATAAGCCCAGAAACGTGGATACATGGTATAAGGATCAGACTAATGGGATTTGAGAAGCTCTGAAATTCTCAACAAAGCACGAAGAGACCGGAACCGGAGTTTCTCTGAGCAGCGGCCCCTGTTTCTCTGACCCATTTTTGGGAGCAGTGTTACGGCTCCCAATGGCCCAAGAGCTTGCACAAAGTATAGGCACTAGGGTTTAGGGTAAGTGGGGTGTAAGGCCTAACCCTAAATCTCAAAGTTCTGGTTGCTTGCAGTCTTAGAGTAGCGCGTGACCTTCTACCTGAAGACTTCGCGCTTCATGCGCCCATCCCAGGCAGGACACAAAGTATGCGGAGGTCTCCTCCCCCTGGTCAGAGCTGGAAGATGTCATCTCAACGCGCATTCAGGTGGATTTGGGGGCTTGAAACCCGATTTGCCTGAACCCCTGGACCCTAGACCCTACCTGGACCCCAAAAGTATGTAGAATAATTTCCCTTCAGTGGTTTTGGGCCATTATTTTACTTTTCAGGGTTTGAGGTACACCTGAACCGCCCCCAAACTGCTAATTAACCCCTAAATCCCACATGAATATTACCCTAAACTCTTAAACCCTAAACCCTCAACCTTAATATCAACCCCTAAAACCCCCTGACCGGTGACCGCTCGATGATGAGAGAGCCATACTCTTTCGGGGGCGACCTCTTTCTGACATCAGAAGCTTTCAGGGTAGAGCTTCAGGGCTTTCAGGGTTTTGAGGCTTGAGTTTAGAGGTTTAGGGTTTACGGCTAGGGATGTGCCTATGGCTGTCTTTCGGGCCTTTAGGGGCCTTTAGGATTTGGGCCCTTACTTAAAGGATCATGGGACTTAGCAACTAGGGTTATAATTAAGGTAACTGTACATATAATTACTTATAACCCCAAGTAAGGTACCTATAACCTTACTTGCTAAGTCCCATGATCCTCCAAATAGACCCTAAACCCTAAACCCTTATAGTACCCCTATAGATCCTTTAAAAGGGACCCCTATAACCCTACTTACTAAGTCCCATGATCCTCCAAGTGGAGGACATGGGCTCCGGTTGTCCCAGCTTCAGGGCTTTAGAGCCAGGAGGCTGCCACGCAGGGGCGGAGGGTGCATTTAGGGGGTTAGGGTTTAGGGTTTAGGGTGCATTTAGGGGTTAGGGTTTAGGGTGGGGTTAGGGTTTAGGGTTTAGGGTTGATGGTGCATATAGGGGTTAGGGTTTATAGGGTTCAGAAGATCTCTGTTTCATTGGGCGTCGGATTCAAAGCTTAAGCTTTGCATTCGGGTCGTAACATGGGTCCACGCACATAGCTAGGGTTTAGGTTTCAGGGTTTATAGCGGTTAGGGTTCGGGGTTTAGGGTTTGGGGGCAAGAAGCAAATCTACAACTCCAAGGAAGTTGCTTCACGGTTTTATTGGTGAACTCCTGACCTTGAACTGGAGAAGCCGAAAAGGCCTAGCTGAATCGCGCCGGAAGTTCTACGACCGCGAGCCGTGAACAGTACTCCGAATCACACCGTAGCCACCTAAGCCTTAATCACCCAACCTGACAATTGCAGAGGAGTGCACAGTGGAGAAGATCGGTGTCTTCAACATGGGGCTGAAGAGGACCGCGAAGTCTTCGATTTTGGGCTCATTTGTTGATTAGTTTTAGCGGGTTTCGGGTTCTTTGAGAGCATGACTTGAGTCCGAGAACAAGTGGTCAATGCCCCAACGCGAAAACCCATGCCCTCCTCAGTTTCTGGTTTTTTGCCTCTAGAGCCTAGAGTCCTGACCCATGTCATTCCAACCCCTACTACACCCCTCAAGCCTTAAGTCCTAATGTAGGAACCTGATTAAGAAACCCTGGGCCTAGAACCCCCCAAAATAGTAGGTTTCATACAAGGAACCCCAATAAAGGCCCAAGGTTTCTGAAATTATTATAGTACCCTTATAGATCCCGTATAGTGACCCTAAACCCTAAACCCTAAACCCTAAAACCCTAAACCCTAAACCCTAAACCCTAAACCCTAAACCCTAAACCCTAAACCCTAAACTAAAGGAGCCCCTAAGCCCTGAGCCCAATCCCTCCAAGAGTTTCCATTGCAGTCGCTCTGCGACTCGCGAGTCCCGGCTTCCTAGTAGTAGGAGCACAGTTCGGGGGGTGTTAAGGGATCTATAATAGGGGCTACTTTAAAGGGATCTATAAGGCTTCCTTTATATGAGGGGATCTATGGGGTTAAGGGGTTTGGGGGTTCAAGGTTACCTAGTAGTAGAGTAGGTAACCTTTGACCTTTTTGGGGTAGCTTAGTCCCTATATAACCCCTATATAACCAAGAAGCTTAACTTTTAGTTCCCCATGCCATGATACCTGACAAGTAGGGCTTTGAGATGGTAATCCCGCCTGCATCTCGGAAAAGCTTCCCTTGAACACTCACGAGACTTTCGCCGATGTGTTGAGGTGTTAGATGTATGTAGGGTTTATTGGGTTTAGGCCGCGTTTAGTTATAGGGTTTATCGAAATAGGTTCATGGGATTGAGGATTCCGTTTTTGTGAATCTCTTGCTAAGGAATTTGGTTTCAGTCACACTTGCAATGGAGGCAAGGAGGCATCTGGAGCTGAAAGGAAGATCACCTGGCCGAAGTCACAATAGCCTGTAATAGTCAGTTGTTTGTTTTCATAGGTTTCGGGCTTACGGGTTTCGGTCGTAGGGTTTCCAGCTTAAGAAATCAGGCTTAAGGGTGCCAGGTTCTCTCAGCCCGAAATCTTTCACAACTCCCGGCAAATTCCGAGACTTCATGATGCCTTTCATTATCCTAGTAGAGCAAGGGCTTGTCGATAGGTATCACATGGCGATGCCTTGTGACAGCGTAGTTCATGTTTTGTTCATGGTACTGGTACCCACTGGTACCTGTATATAGCCTGCACTCTGGAACGATGAGCGCAGATTGTGAAGTCACATGGCTTTGATCGCAGCCGTGGGCTGCGAAGACCGCGTGCAGGACAAGACGTACCTTGCTTTGCGGCACGTCTGGGAATCATCCCTGAAAGATGATGAAGTCTTCGAGGTTTTGAAGGATGAATGGGAAGGAATGGCACAGCAGACGGAGGATCCCATCATCCAGGCGGCATTTCGGCAGAATCAGCACACGGCTCGATGCTTTGCCAAGCAGATCAAGCTCAAGAAGGAGCAAAATGAATCCGGTTCTTGCCAATGGTGAGCGAGTTCTTTCTTCCATGCGTGCATCAACATGCCCAAATCTTCAACATTATCTTTCCGCAAAGCTGGCTCGAATCACCGCGTTCGTCCTCACTGGCTCTTCAACAGCCCTGAGCACTGACCATGGCCTTGGAATTCCTCGCGCGATTGCAAGAGAACAAGTGGGCGCCCTGCCAACATGTGGTAGAGGCATGAGCCTGTTCGGGCCTTTCTGGCTCTGTCCCGCCGTGGCAGGAGATACAGCAGCCAGAAAGGCCTCCAACCCCAGCCTTTCTGGTTTCGGACCCCAGACCCTATAAGATCTGATATCCTCATGGCATCAGGCATGCCTCACCAGTGAAGCCCGCTTTGCTCAAGTTGCAATACATCAGCGCAAGCCATGGATATTCTTTGATATGATTCTTCTCAGTGCTGGAGCCCTCCTGCGTCGTGTTCACAGCCATGATGTTACAGCACCCTTGTATGTAGATGCGAAATTGCCTGTCATTGGCGCTGCACCTCCTGATACCTATCTGAAATCAATGCAATGGCGGTTCAAAAAGTGCGACCTGGAGCCTTTCATTTGATTCCTTTGCGATGCACGAGTTCGAATTAAGAAAACACATGCAGGCAATGCTGGAGAAGAGGCGCGAGTCCCAAGGAACGTCATCAAGCACATCCTTCAGCGCCTCGATATGTCGGAGAAGCACCTTCCCAGTTGCCCTCGATTTCACAAGTTGCAGAGGCATTGCACTTGTGGGGCAACGGACGCGGCAGCCAGCTGAGAGCGAAAATGGGTTGCAAGGCCTGAGTGCGAAAGATGACAAATATGCAGCCCAATAGGCATTGTCAAATGATTTGGGGCAACCGAGAAGTGCCCTACACCTACATCTTCTGATGGCTCACTCACTTGGCACATTGTTGTTGGTAACTTGAAATGCAGCACTGATGAGTTCAAGTTAATGACTGTCGGCACATTGATAATTAAAGATGCTACTGAGGCTAGCGGCTAATCGTGTTTTTTGGTTGTTTGGAAGTCGTATTCTGCGATCTGTTGGAAGCCTCGCAATAATGCTGGGAATGAGGCTAATGAGCGAACCCGAATGAAGCGAAGAAAGTTCGGGCATAGGGAATTTAAGATCAACTTTCTAGTGAGTTTTGCTTTCTCTGATCTACTTTTCGCGAAATCTACTTTTAGTGAGGGCTTCGTGCAAATTGGGTGCACGAGGACTTTTAGTGCAATTTAAATTTGTTGAGAACCCTCGGGGATGTATATGGAATTCCTACGGGATCTGATCCCTTTTCAAGGCAAAGAAAATATTCGAAAGCTGTTTTAACTGCAACAACAGCGGCTGGGAAGTGTGCTGTTCGAAAGTGGTTTTGAAGGGGAACTGGTGGTGAACTTACACGGAAACAATATGTCTAGCAAATCACAAGGGATATATGAAGTTTTCTCGTAGGCTTCTCTGCCTTCATGGCTGCGATTCAATAAGAGCTTACATAGTTAGACGAAGGTCACTGCATTGCCACATTGCCCACCCCTACCGGCAAGCTTCTCCCCATCGCACAGGACGCTCAACTCTTTCCAAATTTCTGAGCGGTTCCCGTGGAAGACTGTTTTCCTGAGCAGCTTGGAGACAACAAGATACAGAGACGGATTTTGTTCGGCTCGTAGTACTATAGGCAAGGTTGAAACGGCAGAAACAAGAAGACTTTACTGTGATTCACCTTGGCTTCTATGCGTGCAGGCGATACTCCACATAGTCCGAAAGTGATCAGTTACAAAAAGAGAAGTAACTGCAGTCGTACCAATGGCAGTCATAATAATACTATTTTTTGTCTCGGAAGCAGGCCAAAGAACCAAAAACCACATATGTTGAGAATATGGCTGCGGTCGACGGTATGCTTCACTTTGAAGGCTGTTGCTAACTATCCAAGGGGCTTAGCTTGTGAAACAAGGACCTTGCTTGTGGGGCTTCAAGGCTCCCGGACAGGAGTCTCAATACTTACAGTTTCACCCTTCGGTGGTTTTATTGATGGTGGTGCTGATGAAGACGGTGGCGAGGAACGACCAGATGACTGTTACGGGGATGATGTGCAGTTTGTGTGTTTTGTTGTTCTTTCGTTGTCTTCCGTACGGCTTCTTGTGACGTCGTCGTTGTCGCGCAGCAGCAGAAGCAGCAGAAGCAACAGCAGCAGCAGCAGTAGTAGTAGTGGTGGTACTGGTAGTGGTGGCCCTGGTGCCGAAACCCCGTTGATCTGGACCCTAAACCCAAACCTTGTTGAAGGCCTCAAGCTTATGCTTTCAACCCCAAATGCTTTGGATCTGCACATCGAGGCAGCATTTCCATCCAGATATTTACGGCCAATGCGCACGGGACACATTTTGGTTACGACCTGCATGGAGATCCTGAGGACAGCTTCAGGGTAGCTTGAGGGTTGTGATATTTATCCCAAGACGCAGACCCTTCAAGACCGGTGGATTGGAATCAGGAATGGGTTTTTGGGATTTTGGGGTTGACCTCCGGCTCTCCGCTTTGGAGATAAAAGTGGTTTGGCCTGTTGAAGCATGTTGCGCGGACATTGTATCGCTTGAAATTCGCGTTTGAGGATTATAATGTTCTTACTGGACAGCCAAGTGTCCTAATCAACACCTTTAGCCCTCCCTCCTAACTCTGGTAGGCACTAAACCCTAAATGCTAAATCTGACCGGTCCATTTATGGCTGCAACTGTCATAGTTTGGGGACTTCAAGCGAAGTCGCAGGTTCGGATTCTGGATTTAGGGGCTTGGATATTTAGGTTTCAGGGCTTAGGGCTTAGCATTTATAAGGTAGCGTTCAGAGTTTATAAGGTTGAGGTTTTGGAGCCCTGAACCATTAAAGACAATCCTCGAACCATGGAGGCTTGGCATTGACTCCCTATTGTCAAGTATCACCCTTAATCGTTAAACCCTGCTACGGCAGAGCTTCAAACACCATACTCTCGAAACCTGATATCGAGAATTTCAAACCCGTTGCACAAAACCCCTAAACCCGAATCCCTCAACCCCGTAATGCCCACAAAAGAATAGGAAATGGAGCGGCCCTGCAAATGGATGCAAGCTGCCTTGGCCAAAGGCCGCCTACGAAAGGGCTATGGGGTTCAGGCTTGAGGAGTTGATCGGCTCTGAGTTCCGGGTGAGGGTGGGTTTAGGGTTTAAGGCTTGGGGAGGTTGTGGGTTTAGGATGTAAACAAGAGCTATTTTTGCAAGGTCTTGGGGTTTTAAAGTGTAGGGTTGAACGGTGTGGGCTTTTCTGCTGGCACCCTTAGCTTTCGGAGTGTATGTTCTATTGGGGCCCAGGAGCTTCTAGAGGTGATCCTTGATGACATCACACAAGTAATATTGTTCATGAAGGCGGTAATGAGAAGCTTTGGAGTAGGTTTTCCAGGCTGGTAGGACGCGCAGCAGCCGCAGCAGCAGCAGCAGCAGCAGCAGCAGAAAACTCTACTCATGATGAGGATTGTGATGCTGATGATGATGATGTTGATGAGCTTGATGATGATTCTGATAAAGATGATGATGATGGTCATCATCATCACCATGACCGTTTTCATCTTCATTTCCAGAGTACACACTTATTACCAAAATGCATCATCATCTTCTGCTTCAACATCATCATTTCAGAAACTATTCCTATTGCGAGTTCTCTAGGAGCAGTAGTGGTCGCTTACACTTCACAGATCTCACCAACGGTAATGACCTTTTATCGCCGGGGCCGCGTCAACTAATTATATATATATATATATATATATATATGTATATACATCAATAAGCAATGACACAATATATATATATATGTATATATGTATATATATATATATATATATACATCCATAAGCATTCACACAGACAGGTTTACGGAGAAGAGATGATGCGATAATGACAGAGAGGGAGGGGCAGAGAGAGCGAGAGCGAGCGACATGTAGGGTTTGTGCTGAGTCTGAGGGCGTGTCGCAGAAGATCTCCAAACCCGCATGCCGACGGTAACACACCGAGCATAGACTCCTAAGCCCTAAGCCCACCGAGCATAGACTCCTAAGCCCTAAGCAACACTTCCTGTCGAGAGGATATCAGCCGCGAAACTATCTCTTCATGGTCGCCTCACTGCGACATGAGATACCCGGGGGGCCTCGTTGAAGAACTGCATGTTGGTGCTTTCCAGGCAGTACGAAGGCTGTACTGCGGCCGTAAAACACCTGTACAGGAACCCATGAAGGCCAAAAGCCAAAGTATAATATAGCTATATATACTCAATATTCAGATTGTATATATATATATATACATATGTGTATACATATATATATATATGTATATATATATACATATATACATATATACATATATATGTGTTATTTATATACATGTGTAACATGTGTATAACACATACATGCATATTTCTGCGCACATAAATATGCATATAAATAAGTGTATATATATATACACACAACATGGGTTCGTGGACCCTTATAACACCATTGTAGCTCTTAACCGACCCATTAAAAACCCTTATCTCCTGAGACTGGATTGTACGAAATAGTGAGGTTGCTTTTAGGGCACCTTCCCATACTTCAAGACCCTTATTGACAATCTTCATAAACCCCAAAACTCTCTAACCTTCACGTGGACCCTTCAATGGAACCCTGAACAGAAGAGACCCCGTAACCCTGCATTTTCCTAAATGATCTGAAGCCCCGTAAACCAAGCCCCCTCCCAGAAATACACCCTCGACCTAGACTCCATAAGCCCTACATCCTAAAGCCCCTAGCCCCTAAACCCTAAAGCCCCTACCCCCTAGCAGTCCAAATTCTCGAACCCCGGGCCTCTGAACTCTACGCGAGGCTTCTCACATAGGGGCCTTCATAATTAGAATAGGGTTTTGAGGGCCCATTCCTGTACTTACGGCAAGGCCTTAAAAATTAGAATAGGGTTTTGAGCCCATTCTACTATACTTACGGCAAGGAACCCCCAAAATAGTATTAAGGCCCCTAGATTGCCGGTTTAGGGTTCCCGCAGGGTCCTATGTAGGCTCTTAGCTATTGCTAAATTTTTGGGGCCCTGAAAGCAGACACCATACCTGCGACTTACTTGGATCTTTGGAGTTGAGGGTTTCCGGGCTTCCGAACTAACCCTCAGACCTGAAAGCCAAAGCCACAAATCCCTCCGAAAAGCCCGTCTGTTCAAAGCTTCGACGATCGAGCATGATCAGTGTACTATATCTAACCACAATGTTATCACATTTATTCAGGCGCCGATATTGCGCAACCCCTGATTCTCAAGGCGTCGAAGATCGAGTTCGAGAATTTAGGTACGAGCGTCCCGCTACCCAGGAGACTCTGGCAGGGCGACTCGGCTCTTCATAATTTTTCTGTTTAGGGCTCAGGCTTTAGGCGTTTAGGATTTAGGGTTTAGGGATTCAGGGGTTTAGGATTTGGGGTTCACGGTTTAGTGTTCAGGGTTTGGGGGTTAGAGGATGCAGGATTTAGGGTGTTGTGTTTGCGTCGCGCTCCAACTACTAAACTCATAGGGTACTGGGCTACATATATGTGGCTAGTAATCTACTATTTGGGTAGTTCTCTAAATTAGGGTCCCGTTTTAGGTCCCCAACATAGTACAGCACTCTTATGGAAAGGACTCTAAAAGGGACCCTAATCTAGAGAACTACCCATTTAGGTAAGTGGAGATCTATAGGTTTAGTTTCCTCAGACTTCACTTTTCGGTGGGACTACATCGTCATCTTTCCAATGCAGGGTCTAGATTTGTGGTTTTTCCGTAAGAAAGGTAAATTTTGGGTCTAGGGTTTAGGGGTGTGTGTTTTTTGCCTCAAGGACCAAACTATACCTGGACCCTAAAGAACCTGCCTGTTTTAGGGTTCCCTAATATGATTTCTTTATATAAGTCCTCAAAAGGGTAAGGTATTTGGGGTTGAGGTAAGGCGTTTTGGCTACTTTGAGCCTTTGGGTTTACTTTGATTTTAGGTTTCAGGTTTTTTTGGGGGTTCAGGGTTTCACTTTACACATTTGGGAAACACAGGAGTCCTTGTTGGGAGGTCGGCGTATTGGTTGTGCGGATCCAAATAGTTAGAACCTATTTTCGGGGGTCTCCTTCCATTCGGTCTGAGACTTATACCTATAGTCTCCATTGTAGTTCCTTTGTTTGGTTAACCAGTTTTATGGTTAGGACCCTATAATAGAGATTTTGGTTAACCAAAAAAAGGAACTACAATGGATGCTATAGGTAGACCTTTTTTCCTGGGTTTGGGGTGGTTTCGGGTTGAGGAACTTCGGACTCATACACGGTTCGGGTTTTAGACTTGTGGCTTAGGGCCGGGATCGGGGTTTGCAATCGGAGTGGTTGTGCTTGTTCGCCTGGTGTGTGAGGAGGGTCTCTGCGACCAGCTCATGCGAGGTAATAATAATGGTAATAATGTAACTAGTAGTAATAATAATAGCAACAGTAATTATTTGTAACACTATAAGTAACCATTGTAGTCGTATTAGTAATAATCATGGTTGCAGCCATTCAAGCAAGCTTGAAGCACGACTCAACGCACCCACTCAAATCTCAGCACTCGCAAACGCCAGCAACCTGGACTGCATCCCAAATCGAACTTACAAGCCTTAAATCCAAGCCATAGAAAAAAGCAGAAGCCCTAAACCCAACAAGACTAAAAGCCCCGAAACGCCGGCAGCCCCAGAGGTGACAATCGCTCGCTTCTTTGGGCGGACGAGGAGGGGAAGTTTCCCTTGCCCGAGTGGGTGCGTGGGATGCGGAAGATGACGGCCGCCTTGCCTGGATGTGGGGATTTTCCTGGGGCCTTGAGGTGGCACATGGATCTTGAGGCCTTGAAGTTGATGCGACGCTTTCGGGTTTGAGGGCGGCTCTATACTAACCCTAAGGCTCAAAATGGCCCAAAAACCCTATATAATATGGTGTTTAGGCCAAAAAGCCTAAAATGTGAGTCCTTCTGTTGATGATATAAATCCTGCATTACCTTAAGGACCCTAAACTATGGGAATTATGGCATATTCCTTATTATGGGTAATGCAGGATTTTTATCATCAACCGTTAGAGCCTTAGATTAAGGATCCTATGGTCTTGCCTCCACCCTGAAGCCTGGAGCTCTTGAATCTTCAACGTCTTTGCTACGACCATCGTTAAAGGTGGCAGTATCGCCCCTGTGGTAAACTCGTGACTGCTGTCCTCTCTCCATGTCGTAGTTATACTCATTATATGTATATATACATACATATATATATATATACACACATATGGGTGGTTGTCAAAATTATGGTCCTTTTTTTTGGGAACCCTAAATATTACGTGCCGTACTATAGTAAGGACCCAAAAAGGCACCCTAATTTTGACAACCACCCATATGTGTCACTCTTCATCATCATGGTACGCGGTGTAAACAGCGAGCAGCCCAAACCCAAAGGCGAAACACACATCATGCCCGTGGCACCTTCAGCCCTACCAAACTTGAAGCCCTAAGCCTCAACTCTAAACCTGAAACACTGAACCACAAAACCTAAACCTTGGACCCTACACGACTAAACCCTACACCTCCAACCACGGTTCTGAACGGCCAAGGACCTGAATCCGGACAAGTGGCCTGCCTGGATGTTCCACTTTAACGACGGTCGGAACCTGGACCACTACATTGCAGCCGGGCAGATTCGTTGTTTGAGAGTTTAGGGTTTACAGGGCAGTGTTTGGAGTTTTGGGGTCCGTTTGGGCTCTTCAATAGTCCTTCTTTCCCAACTATCATGAAGTTAGTTTGCCCAAGTGCATGCTGCACTATTGTTGCCAGTACAGGCCTGTAAGTTCTCTTGCAGCCCCCTTCCTGTTTGGAAGTAGTGCGTTTGACAGGCTGCATTTGTTTTTGTCTATAACTTTGGGTTAGTGTGCAAGGTCTGAAGTGCAGGTTGCAGGTATTATCATCGTACTTGTCCTTTTGGTTTTGAAAACGGTTGTTCAAGCGACATGAACGGAAGTCTTCTACTATGCTGCAAGCAAGAAAGACTGCCCCAGCAACCCCGAGGACGACTATCAACACAGTTCCCGGAATGCCAGAATGCTCAACCATAGTTTCTACAAATTCCTACCAAGGCACACGTCTCAAATCATGCCTCAGAACCCCTAAGCCCTTATAGAACCCGTGAAGGTCCCCTTAAACGAAACTAACGAAACCTTAAAGGAACCCTTGAAGGAGCACTTCAAGGATCCCTCAAAGGAATCCCTATCTTTCGGTGCCAAGTCTGATCTGGTCTAATCATTGGACACTCGGTGTTACCATTGCAAGTAAAAATGTGGCCAATAGAATACTCATGACCTGCTATTATCACTACTAACAATAACATGTCTCAAGTACCAGAGCAAGTACATGTCCCTCAAAATTGACCGCAAACCATGATCCCCAGTAGGGTGTAGGGTTGGTTGCACAGGCATGTTGTTGCTCAGGCATATTGGTTGAGTTTGTTTGGAGTCTCAGGCTGAGGTATCAGCTCTCAGCACTTCTGCCAAAACCCAAGGCCCAATCCTGACATCCTGAACCCTAGAGCCCTACACCACACGACCCGCAACAAAATCGAAATCCTGAGCCCCAAACTCCCTTACTAAACCCTGCAAGCCCAGGGAAAGATGAACTTCGACGTTCGAGGGCTCCATGCCGTTGAGGAGCTTCTGTGCATCCCTGCCACTCATTGGGTTTGGAATTTAGGCTTCAGGGTTTAGGGTTTAGTGTGGGTTCAGGGTTGCTCGGTTAAGGGAATAGGGTGTAGTTCGTGTGGGCCCAGACTTGGGTCACGAGTCTTAGATGCTGAATAGTAGGATCCTTGAAACATTTCTTGGACCATACACCCGTAAGTAAGGCATTCCAAAAATGTGGAACATGTTCGGGCTCAGGGTTTAGGGTAATAAATAAAAGCTTTAGCACTGCGACGTGTAGGGTTATCGTATCCGTCTTGCTTTGCTGAAATGGGAACCGTGCTCCACCACGTCGCATTGTAAGAGTGTCAGCATCCACATGGAGGTACCGAAGGCCATGCAGAGAACGGTATTTAGGACTCCAAATCCTGCTATTCAGGTGTGTGGGCCCCCGCGAAGGCTTGTACCTGACGTGAAGGGGACTGCGAGTAACCTTGCATGGCTATAGGTTCCTGAATACTAGCCCTGCTTTACTGGGTCCCCTTATCCTTCAAGGCCTTAACTTGTACAGATCCCGTATATCAAAGGGTAAAAGGAGGGGCCCCTAATAAGGACCCCTAGGTATATACCTATACTTAATATAGCCATCATATACCCATTATATAGCCCATTACAGGGTAGGGGTCCCCATTAAGGGTCCCTCCTTTTCCTCTTTGAGTATAGAACACCTTATGTAACCCTTCAATTGCTCAAGGACTCTGCTCTTGTCCTGGCGGCCCTGGAAACTCTTGGTGCCATGGCGCTGGTTTTGAGGTTAGGGTTTTTCGGGGTAGAAGGAAAACCTGGGCTCAAGGTGTCCAGGGGTGGAGTATCATGCTGTTTCTATTGTCGCAGCCTTTGGGATTGCGGCTGCTGTTGTTGTTGTTGTTGTTTTTCTTGTCGTGGTTGTTGTCTTTCGTTGGTCCTGTGCTTCGCGACGTATACATGCGAATCCCTTGTCAGGTTCGAGTCTCGAAGTGTAGAAGCACTCACCAGAGTGTTGAGTTTAAGTCCATGTGGCTGTGCGCGTGCAGGTGCTCGTGTGTTGTTCCTTGATAAATGTTGTGAACATTGTTGTCCGGTATTGCAGCTTTGCAGCTTCAGTGACCTGAATTAGGAACACTTGTTAGGTATTTCTCAGCCGCCTCCATACAGAGCGCTGGATACGTGACCCAAGTCTGCCCTCGGACGTCCGTTACCAGCATCAACACTCTCTACAGAAAACTCAGTGCTTCAAACTCTCACGCTAGATGAGACCAAGCATTTGATTCCTTACCAGGTCCTGCTAGTTTTCAAGCAGTATAAGTAAAACAGAGCCTCCTATACTCGTTTACGGGTTTAGCTAAACTTCTCTAAACCCGGACCGCTTGGTTGAGTAGTCAAAACATTTCTAAACCCTAAACCCTAAATCCTACACCCTTCACCCTAAACCGGAGACCCTAAATCGCACACCCCTAAGCCCAAACTCGAACTCTAAGTCCCGTGGGTGCAGCCAGGTTGGAAGCCGGACCCCCTGGTCCGCATGCACGTCGAGGCGTCTCGGTTGGAGGTTGTTCACGGCTATAGGGGTAGGTTTGGGGGTTTTTTGGTCTAAGTAATAAGGTTTAAAGCATTATTTTGAATCCATGCTCAGACTTGAGGGTTTAGCGTGTATGGCGAGGCTTCTGGGAATTAGGACAATGGGATTTGAGGGTTGGTTTTCTGGACTCGAAAATAAGGGTCCCAGAAGATGAAACATCCTTGAAACAGGGGTGCTTTCCTATTATTAGTGTTGTTTTGATTATGGTTCATAAGTTTTATTGTTGCTGTCATTATGTATACTCTTATGCTAGTCATTGTTGTTATGATTATTATTATTACCTTTATTATTATTATTATTATTATTTGTAGAAGTAGTAGGAGCAGCTGTCGCAGCAGTAGTAGTGGCAGTAGTAGTAGTAGTAGTAGTAGTAGTAGTAGTAGTAGTAGTAGTAGTAGTAGTAGTAGTAGTAGTAGTAGTAGTAGTAGTAGTGGTAGTAGTAGTAGTAGGAGGAGGAGGAGTAGTAGTAGTAGCAGTGGTAGTAGTGGTGGTGGCCGTTTTCGTGGACACAGCAGTATGATTACTTGAAGTATTGTAGCTGGTAGTACTGTTGTTGTTGTTGTTGCTGCTGCTGCTATGAGTACTCAGACTGGTACTAGCAGTTAGTGTTAGTCACATCGCTGTCATTGTTGTTATTGGTGTTGTTCCTGGTAGTGCTATTGCCAATATGCGCGTTGCTGTTAGTGTTTTTGTTGCTACTGTTCATGGTGTCATTATCATTGCAATTGTTATTCCTAGTATTGTTGTTATTTATTTCATGTGGATTATTGGTCCAGTTAATTTATAGTCTATCAGTAGACTTTGTAGTAGATGGTATTCGTAATAATACGTGATTACTCCTGCTATCGTTCCTGCCATTGGCAGTATGATTGTTGTTGTTTTCTGTATCACTATGATATTTTTATTACTATTATTATCCTCACTGTTGTTCTTTTTGTGAAGTGTTGATTGGCACTATGTTTCTTTTTGTGTTTGTTGTTTAATGTTCGTTTTCTTCTTGACACCGTTAATTGTCTCAATATTGTTGATTCGCTATTGCCGTTATTGGTTCCAGTGTTACTACTATAAATGCACAGTCTTGTTGCTCTTGCCAATGTTATTGTTGGTCTAACCAGTATCACTATTCTTCCTCGTTGTTATTAGTGTTGTTCCTGTTGCTGGTGCTGCTGCTGTTGCTGTCGCCGTTGCTGTTGTTGCTGGTGATGTTGTTGTTGTTGCTGCTGCTGTTGCTGCTGCTGTTGCGATTGCTGTTGTAGTTGTCGAGGTCGCTGCTGTGTTGTTATTATTGTCATTGTTGTAATTGTGGTTGCCTTCCTGTTATGCATTTTAGTGTTGTTATTGTTATTCTTGTAGTTTTGTCTTATTCTTGTTGTTATTACCGTTAGTCTCAGTACTGTCGTCTGTCTTCTCAGCTTTGTTGTTATCACTTATATTACTTTGTATTCTCATTCTTGTTACTATTATGACGATTATTGTGCCTAGTAGTAGCAGTGGTGTTTAGATGAAGGATCCCCGAAGAATCGCTGGATCGAATAGTGTGGCTTTGGGAAGGTTTTGGGTTCAGGATTTCGGCAGGATGATTCGACAGTGCCCCTGAAGGTACACAGGGTGCTTGTAACAGTATACGCCTGTCTACATATGGGGAATTCAGGCCATGGGCATGAGGTTCCCACAACTCAAATCCGAAATTGCTTATGTGTTGCTGCAAACCATGTTCCACCGGCCTTACGCAGCCCGCAAACCTCTGTCTCAAGCTCTTCTGCCGAACACGCTGTTCTCCTCAAACCCTGGCTGAACCGAGCCTTCATGTAGCCGAAGCACCTGGTCGTTGGGTGCTCTCAGACCTTCTATGCCCAGAACAGTAAGCCCTCGAAGAAAGCCCCTATCCAGTCAACAAGGAGAAGAAGCATTTTTGGAATTCTGAGAAGCCTCAATACACGGAGCAGGCCGAGGGTGTGCCGCTCGGCAACCACTGGGTTGTGAATAGTTTTAGTTGAGGATTTAGAAGTGTAGGGTCCAGGGGTTCGTGGCTTCGGAAGGCGTGCAGTAGTGTGGAGAACTGTTTAAAGTTTCGAGGGTTTCTGGTTTGTTGATGGCCTCATCTGGTCTTGGCGGGTTCTCTGTTGCTGGTTTTGTCATGGGCTCTTTCGGTGATTCTAGTCTTGGGTGGGATTTGTCTTAGAGCGGGAGGATGGGTTTCAGTATCTGATGTTTCGGTTTTGGGATGATTCTTTTCTTTGTGTTGTCGATATGCCATAGCTCTTACCCTCGATTCGGTTTGAAAGAAAATAGTTGGACTCATATTGTTGAGACTCGCCTGTATGTTTGTTTTGTTTTGTTGTGGTGTGGTACAGGCTATCCGGACTTGATTCCAGCCGCCAAATCTGCGTCATTCTCGTATGCCCGCCAAGTTTCACAATGAAGCGGTCGCAATGCTGCTACAAAAACTGCAGAGCAAATCTGTCTTGGGTCGTCATATCATCATGGTGTACGGTACGTACCGAGATTTTGCACCAGCGCCAAGGTCGGAAACGCAGGAGCTCTGCTAAAGACTCGAGTGAAGTCGAAGCTCCCAACAGAAGCGCCCCTCCCCCCAACTTTAAGTATCGAAGCCTCAGAAGCCTAGCCTGACAGTCTCGAAGCTGATGCGTTAAGCCCGAAACGGTCGCAGCTGTAGGGTTTTCGACGACGTAGACCTTTGGAATACAGAACCTTAGAGCTCCAGTTGCATGAGTAATACGGCTGAGGAAGTTCGGAGGACTCGTGATGCAAAGTCACTACTTATCGGATCATTCGGGCCGAATTCTGTTCAGGGTTTAGGGGTTTACACAGGGTTTCATAAGTCAGGGAAGTATAGTTGACCATTACTCCAAGTAACTCTAGGATTTGGGGGGCTTACATCGCGCTAAGGTCTAGAAAGTTGGGCCGTTTTGGATTTGGAGAGAGTCAATTTTGTGCTGATCTTCTGGCTTTTTCAAAACCTCGAGAGCAAGAGAGCCGTACCACCTGCAGCCCCAAATCCGGAACTGTGAGCCTAGAGCTGAAATGGGAGTTTCCCAAAATAGGGAACCCTAATATCGTACCCTGAATAGTAGGATCCTTATCATAAGGACCCCCCAGAATACGGTACCCCTGATTTTCGGAAACTCCCAAATCCTGAACCTCGAACTATGAAGCCTCTTGGACCTTACGATGCCTGAGCCTGAAAGGCCGAGTTTGCAAGGTTCAGGGCCTCAGGTTCTATTTTGCCCATCAAAATTTCGAAAATTCATCGTTTCGTGTGTGTTCGCTGTTTTTGGGGTTTTGGATGGTGTCTTTGGTTTTGGCGTTTGGTGTTTGAAGCTTGTTCGGGCACCTATGGAAGTGTGAGTAATGCATAGACGTATCCCCTTGTAACATATAATCCGTTATGATTGTACAAGAGCCGCCCATAGCCCCTTTTCTGTGTTAACACCCTGATGTTTCCGTCTGGAACCCTGTAAAGGAAATCATAAGCCTCTTTAATCGTCCTGACAGTAAACTACCGTTATAGTATAGTAATAGTAAGCCTGAGTCTTTTTGGAGAGCGCCTGAGGCAGATCTCTGGCAAGCTGGTGACTGCAGCCACTTAGCTTGGACAGCTTCCGGTGGTGGTTCAGTATTGGAGGGTTCAAGATGAGCGTGTCGGGTTTATGGTTTTCAAGTTGGTTTCGAGTTTAGGGTGTAAGGTTGGTTCAAGAAAATTATGGGGTTGGGGTTTAGGGTTCAGGGTCTGGGGCTCTGGGATGCTACTGCATCGCAGACGGAATTTCAACACTCCGTGCCTAGCACAATGTTTCCGGCTTGGCCATGATCAGGACGTTCACATGGACTTGTAAGCTAACTGGCATGGGCCTTGCTGCGATGACTCTTGACGCTTCAAGCCAAGCCTAAACCCTGAACCCTAACCCGAAGCTCGAATGCTACCCAAATCCAAACAACTCCATCCGGGGCAGCTCCAACAGCTGAGGTAACCTTGCGGCATCATGCCAGGAATCATCCTCGGCCGTTAAATCGGAAGGGATATGGAAGGCTAATTCTCAATGTCCTCACCTCATCCCATGCCTCCTACACCAACTACTACTATTTTTCCTGATACTACTACTACTACTACTACTACTACTACTAATACTATTACTACTACTACTACTACTACTACTACTACTACTACTACTACTACTACTAGTACTAGTACTAGTACTAGTAGTACTAGTACTAGTACTAGTACTAGTACTAGTACTAGTACTACTGCTACTGCTACTGCTACTGCTACTGCTACTGCTACTGCTACTGCTACTGCTACTGCTACTGCTACTGCTACTGCTACTGCTACTGCTACTGCTACTGCTACTGCTACTACTACCACTACTACCACTGCTTCGACGACGGTTACTCCTACTACTACTACTACTACTACTACTACTCCTACTACTACTACTACTACTACTACTACTACCACTACTACTACCACTACTACCATATACATGCAGAATCTGCAGCCAGAGGTCTACCCCTACACAAAGGAGATGGCTGGAATGCAGACTCTGCCCTTCGACGTGCTCCGGCATGGCGGTGAAAGCACGCTCACGTCCGTCTACGAACTTCGGCAGCATTCTGGGTTGTCGAGTAGGTAGCTTTTAACCTTGTGACTTATGTGGGGTTCTATGCATTCTTCAATCCCTGGCAAAAGGAAAGCCACAAGAAGCGGGTTGTTGACAGTCTTGCATGCATGGGCTTTGGGGAGGATGTAAAGGAAACTAATCAGGGCACATGGCAACATCCTAATGAGACATGGGAGCACAGGCATCTTGATCGTGAGGATTTGCAATTACGGCGGTCTGAATTCCTAGGCGGAGACCCTACCTCTAAGTTGGAATTTCTAGTCCCAAGCCCTCATGCTTGATTTAGAGCTCCCTTAAACTGTCAAGTCTTAAAGCCTGTGACAGTTCTGTGAACTTGTGAAGGACTATACCGAGTCCTATGTGGAATCCTGCTTCGTCCTTGAGGCTGGCACAGCCTTTCGCATCACACGGTTAAGGATGGGTTTTAGGATAGGGGCAGCTTGAAAAGGGTTTATGGATTTGTCTTAGATTTAAGAGCTTTGGGCTCTGGAGCTTTTAGCGTTACGGGCTTAGAGGCTTTGTTCGATTTTTAGGCGTTGTTAGCATTCAGTGTTTGGGCTGTATAGGAGCGGAGAAGACTGCACGTTTGATTTTCGTTGGTAAGCTTGATACAATAGTATAGTGGTACAGAAGGGTATGTATATATATATATATACATCTGTATATATATATGTATACATACTTACATACATGTGTGTGTGTGTGTGCGTATTTAAGCCTGCATGTTGAGCTGTTGTATCTGCTCTTGACTATCGATGGTAGCAGAACCAGGAACCCACTGTTCTGAGCGAGTTTTGGCGGTTGTGGGCCTGGGAGCTTTTCGGTTGTGGGTTTCGTTATGGGTGCTTTCGTGCAGCGTGTCCGGGTTTTGGTGGTTCCGGGTTTAGGGTGTTCCTTGGGCAGCAATTGGCAGGATATTCTCAGTGGTCTAGGGTCTAGGGCTGAGTCTCTGTTGAGTGTCTTTCGATTTCACGTTCATGCGTAATCACAAAGGGTTCAAGGAGTACATGCATATATACTGGAAAGGGCTAGTGTGTATTGAAATTAGTAGAATGGTTCGTGTAAGTACATCCAGTATTGCTACTTCAGATGCTTGGAAAAATGGGTGACAGCTCATGTGAGCTAGCGATGGGGCAAGGAACTGCCACAGCTCTGCAGGAAAGGCTTTCCGGCTCAATACATCAAACCCCTAAACAATAAATCCTAAGGTGTAGGGTTCTGGGCTTAAGCCGCAAGTAGCAAAGCTGAACGGCCCAACACCGCGAGTCAAACAAACGGCGTATTAGTAAGTAAGTTTACATAAGTGCCGTCATTGCAGTTGCAAGTAATCATCGCTACTAGGTAATATGTACTGCCGAGTTACTACGTCCCTTCAAGTAGGCTTCATGGAAAGTCTTGCCATACAGTTTACAATGAAGGAGCAGATATCGATGTTTGTAGGGTCTGGAGGCCCCTTGTAACGCATTCTAGCAGCTTGCGCTAAACCCAACCAGCAATAAGAACTGCAAGCCTCAGCACCCAACGCTACTAGCCTAGCGCAGCCGTAATGCCTTAATAACTTGCGTTTAAAAACGGAGCGGTATCCCTCGCCAGGCTCTTTCATTGCCTTCTGCAGATGACGTTGATGACGGCTGGACGGAGATGGGTGGCCGCATGTCCGCCTCGATGACATTCTGCATCCCGGATATGTTACGGAGGTTTTGGCATTTGGCGGCTTTGGGAATGAGGGTTTGGTTTTATGTTTACGATTTCAGGGCGGTTAATTCTCCTGGCTTGACCCGGGTGAAGAAGACCTCTGCAGTGCAAGAGGGTGTTTTTGTGGGATGTTATATTAACTGAGGCTTGAAACTTCAAAAGCAGTGTAGTCATGTATGTGCTCTTGCTACCCCAGTCAGGGTACTTATGACCTTACCTGCTAAGCCCACTGACTCGGGTACATAGAGTCGTAGAAGTAAGTGCTCCCAAAAGCTGAGCATTTTACAGGTTTATTTGCACATGGATTCATGGCTGTAGGGCTTCGTAGTCTCAAGAAGCTCAGTGGCTACCGCGCAAAGAAGGAGAACACCCAAACATGGTTTAGGGAAGAGGTTTAGGGTGTAGGAGTATGCGTGTGGTTCTACAGCAATGACGGGTAAAGAAGTTCTTCCGAAGCGAGCGCTGGCCGCCCCAAGAACACAGACCTGCGCAGTTTTATGCGCAGAGTTTGACTTGAGGATGCTTCCAACAATACTACTGCCCAACCCTACACCCAAACATAACCGCACGAAGCTGGAATCCCAAACCAATGTTCATGTAGCCCCTAAACCCTAACCCCTTTCCCCATAGCCCCTAAATCCAATCCCAAACCCTAACCCAAAGCCCCTACATAAACCCAACGGCAGGCACGAACAACTTCCAGAGCCCGAAGAGAGACGCCGTGCCCGCGAGTTCGGCGGTGGATCGCAAGGATGTGATGCAGGTGCCGGCTAGGGCCTTCTGAGTTCACTTTAGGGTGTTTCATAGGGATCCTTAGGGGTGTAGGGGGAGGGGGGGTAGGGGGCCTTAAGGCCCACAAAAAGGACCAATAAGGCCTATTTAAGGAAATATAGTCCCCTACACCCCTCCCCCCTACACCCCCTAAGGATCCCTATGAGTGTTAGGGTTTAGGACGCTAAAGGGTTTAGTTTAGGCTCTAACTGCAGGCTCCAGGGCTTGAGGCACCGAGGGGTTTGGGCTTCAGTGCTTTGGGATTCAGGGTTTAGGGTTTAGGGTTTAGGGCTTAGGGTTTAGGGTTTAGGGTTTAGGGTTAGGGTTTAGGGGGTAGCAGTCACGCTGGTACTCGTCTACTGCTGCTCTTGCTGCAACTGGCACATACGACTACTCGTGTGTTTGTTTGTACTAGGACTATTAGTGCTGCTCCTCCTCGCAAGCCGACGACTACTTCTACTGCTGCTACTACCGTTTCTACTCCTGGTGAATCACAATAAATCTGAGTGGGATGATCATATTCCTCAGCGTGCAAAAGGCTCCGCAGGAAAGCTGATACTAGCAATAAGCAGCCTAAACCCCAAGACCCCAACATCCGGCTCCGCATGAGGAGCCTATTTTATTACGAACTGTGTCAGCGAGGTCGGAGTGATTTGGACCAAGCCTACTACAAGCCTTAAACCCTGCAATTAAATGAACACCTGCAATTAAAAAAACCTGCATTTAAAACAAAAACCCTGCAATTAAAACAAAAGCCCTGCAATTAAGGTTTCCCAATGTCCCGCAAAGAAAGTAAGGAAACCTGCAGCCCCGAAGCTCTGAACTTGTTGCATTGTTCTGGCAGTGCTTCCTTGAGCATCATGGGACTTAAGTACCAGCTGCTGACAAGGTAGCTTTGTTTGTAAAAATGTACTGATTATTCCAATCATGGTTCCTGAAACCTTGCTGAACCATCTGATCCACCCTTGTACTTAGGGGTACTTGGAAAGTTTTTTTTAATTTTTGGTTAGTAACGTATAATCCTTAAGAAACAGCTAAAATTCTAATTTTGTTAGGTTTCTAAGTTCAGTATTAGAAGCCTGGCACACCACTCTTATATTATAGAGCGCGTACGCCATATAGATCCGCCAAGGAACCCTTAAGAGAACCCGTCATAAAAGTTTCGGTTTAATTAAGGATGGCCGAGTTGGTGGCTTAAGGTTTCAAGTTGTAGCTTATAAGGTTTTGAAGTCGTGGGTTGGTAGGTGCAGCTCATAGGGATACTATTATGTTCACGGCTGATGCAATGCAGGTTGAATTTAGGGCTCAGGGTCGCGATTGAAGGTCACAGTTGAATCTCCGCGGCTTCAGAGTGTGGATGATATAAGACCCAGAAGCCTCATAAAGGACCCGAGTAATCCACTGGACTATTTCTCAAAGTTGGGTCTTGTAAGCATGCTACAATGTACCCCGAAAACCTATTCGAGTCTTTATACTTCTCCAACAACCTACTCTGCTCGTTCATACAAGGCTCCTAAACACAAGCAAGCCAGCACCTGACATGCGCCGGAGGCGATGATTGACTACTTCTCGAAGAGTCGACCGGACAACATGAAGGCCTGTTGGCTCTGCACTAGTTCGGTCTATGCAGCATGTCTGGTGGAAAGCTTCTAAGGCGATGCTTCAGTGGGTCCGCTAGAGTTTTATCTCAGAGCATGGCTTAACATCCTAAGCATCGTATGGTATGCCCTGAAACATAAGTACGATGCCCAGAATTTTGGTTTCAGTCCTTTTGTCGGATATTGACACCGGGACGGGAGTATTGTTACTCCCCTACGTCAAACCCTAAACAGGGCGGTTATATAAACACTCTGCCCTCTAGACCCTTTCAAGCCACGAAAAGCCCTAATCCCTGATTCAATCCCTAGGCCCCGAATCCTAAACAAAATCCCTAAGCTCCCAGACCCTAAGCCCCAAACCTTTCTGAACCCTAAACCCGATAAACTCCCAAGCCCAAAGTCTCAACCAAACTGTGTCTGCAGGTCGCCGCCCCTAAACCCTAAACCCCTGTACCCTACACCTTACAGTAGAAGCCAGAAAGTTGGAATATCATTATCATAATCCCTTTAAGGTAAAATATAGGGGATCCTGCCACTAATCCATATTCCAACTTTCTGGAGTTCCCTTTAAGTCCTAAACCCCAACTCCCAAAGTCCTAAACCCAATTGTGTCTCCTGGTGCAGGTCGCCGCCCACTCGATGAAGAGCTGCTCCAGCGAAGCCGATTGCTCTGGCAACACCTGCATGGGACCGAGCCACTTTGCGTGGTAGGAAAAGTTTCGGAGTTAGGGCTTAAGGTTTAATCCCTAACCCCTAAACCCTAAACCCTAAACCACTTCGTCGGGCAAGGAAAGTTTCGGGTTTAGGGCTCAAGGTTTAACGGCCGCCTTGCCGGGTAAGCAAAGTTTCGGATGTTGGGCTGATGGTTTTATTCTATACGGTTCGGTGTGATCCGTACATGTCGTGACGATGATTTTGCCCATGAGCTCTGCTCGTGTCAGTCTTGCTGTGTAGGCGGTCGCAGGCGCGCAGGCCCTCAGTTCGTGCTTTCTCACCTTATCTGGGACCCAGAGTAGGCCCTTATTCCCTTTTTTGAGGGTTCAGGTTCCCTTATAAGCCCCTTTAAACCAAAAAGGGCACCCTTTTATTCCTAGGTTATGTTGGCAGAACTTGCATCAGGGGCTCGGCAGGGCAAAGCCAATAAAGAGGGTGCTGAATGAGATTACCGTAGAAAAAGACCCTAAGCTTGACATCAGTTTGGTGTTGATTACGTACATGAAATGTCCCCTAAGCTTGCCGGTGCGTTGTACAATTGAAGTTTTGCCGTAGAGGCGGTCGGCCCCGATGCGAAGATTAGGGAAATCGTGACGAGTTGTACTTGTTCAGGCTTCTAGCCAGCTCTGTGCCAAGATCCATCAGGATCCCTTTGAAAAGTGCAACGCTCCCCATTAGAAGAAGCCTACCTTGGCGTCTGCAGTCTTTCTCGAACCAAAGAATGTTCTTCCTTACCATGTACTTCTGTGGATAATATACTTTCAAAGGGTTCCCACATGAGTAATACTTTACAGCCAAAGCATATACCAGACAGGTACAGGGACCCTCAGGGTTATCGCTGTTCTTGAAGGCAGATCCCTAAAGCTCAGATCCTACAGACTCAGGGTTCAGGCATCAAAGACCCACGGTTCAGCCATCCTACAGTAAAGCCCCGAAAGTTGGAAACCGGATTAAGGCCAAGTAGTGCTGCGATTCCCCACAATTGACCCTTCAGGATTGAGGCTTTGGGGTTTCCAACTTTTGGGCTTCGGCTGTACACCCTGAACCTCTGAAGGCGACTGCAAGGAAAATGCAGCATCGCCTTGCCCCGTCGGGTTCGGATGTGCCTGCGACACATCGAAGAATCAGGCACAGCTTTTTTTTTTCTGAGGGTGTGGGGACGGGGGAGGGGATCTTTAAGTTCAGGGTTTGGGCTTGAGGGTCTAGCCCTGGGATTGAACTTATCAGCTAGAATGGGGCTTGAATGGTGTAGCAGATGCTGTTGTACATTTGTAAGGGCTGCAAGTAACCATCGTGCTCTACTTGAGTGTTGTAATTATTCAGACGTGTCTGAAGACAGCTGTTGCGCAACGACACCACATTCCGCCTCGAGGCACGGGAATGGATATTACTCACGGTGGGCACCTTGTGCAAGCACGATGCTGCGCACGTGTTTTGCTAATGATTTCCTCAGCACCTTGGGGCCCACTGGCCTTCGCACTTCGAACCAAGAAGCGAAACCCCACCTATGTTCTTCTTCGAAGCCTTTTTCGATGGCTGAGGGTTTTTGTAGGGTTTGGGTTTGTGATGTGGGCAAGTCGATCTTTACATTGCATAACGCTTTCTTATCTACATCATAATATCAAGGTCCAAGAACCCAAGACTCAAGTCTAAATGCTCGAGCCTCTGTATCTATAGCAGAACCCATCGCCCCAAGCCCGAAAGCTTATCCTGCCTTTTCGTAGACCGGTTGGCTTGGGAGGCCCTCTTCGCAGCATCGTTGGGAGCCAGCCTGTTGTGTGAGGCGCGGCATCTGTTGAAAAGGGTTAGGGTTTAGGGTTTTTGTGTTAGTGTAAGATAATATCCGCCTATAGCTTACATAGAGTCTCCAAGCTCCACTTTGGTGAAGCAGTGTTATCTTTAGGAGCCTGTAGCAGAAGCACAAACGAAACGACATTGGAGATTTGAAGCAAGGTTTATAGGGCTTGCTGTCTTGAAGTTTTGGAAGATCCGAACTCTTGTTGGCGAGAATAGCCTGTGTTTCAGCTAGAAACAACGGGAGTTTGTAAGTGAGCTGACACGGTCCACACGTATAGCTGGTGTATTTGGCCACCCAGGGCAGGGGCGGATAAGGGCTCAACACAGAGCGACAGCGCCGGTGCTTCTGAACTCGCGGTCGACTTCCTCGTTGCGAAGCTGGTTGGCTTCCGGGCTATCCATCCCTCGGGCTTGCGAGGGCCTTCCTCGCGTGCTGCAGTAACGACCTCTTCCTGGCGAAGCTTGATTCGGCATCCATCTCCTGGGCCTTTTTGGGCTTTGCCCGCTTGTTGCTATATCGACCTGCTCCATGCAATGCTCTCTCTCTCTCTCTCTCTCTCTCTCCATCTCTTCTCTTGCTTTGGGAAACTTCCCCCCATTTCAAACGACCGCCCCGTGGTGGTTGCTGGCTTGCTTTGTTTGCGCTCTTTGTTGTTGCCGTTTCGCCGTCATTGCTCGCCGCGTTGTTGCCGTTTGCTGTCGTTTCTGCTTCTTTGCCGTCTCTTCTTAGGGACCCAAAAAGGACATACGCATAAGCATGTTATAAGGATATCTCTAGCTGGGACATCTCCATCCCATATTTTGCTTATGTGCTTTTTTGGGGCCCTGTTCGTGGCCGCCTCTTCGTCGGTCGGCGCGTTGCGGTTTGATCCTGAAGTCCCTTGGCCGGACATACCGCTCCCAGTTGACCGAACTTTGATCCTGGCCATCCCTCTACGCCACTCCATCAAACCCTAATACCAGGACCCTCCTTGTACCCTCAAATAGGGGTATATGGTCCCAAATAAGGGGCATTTAGGGTCTACTAGAGGGTAGATGGAAGCCTAAACCCTAAACCCTAATCCCCTAAACCCTAAACCCTAAACCCCACACCCTAAACCCTAAACCCAAACCCTAATAGAATCGAACCCTTACAAGAAGCCTGAGGCCCCCCTGTACTAGACCCCTATAAATAAAACCCTGATCCCTAAAACCTTAAAAGAGCCCCTACAAAAAAAAAAACCGCAAAACCCTAAAGCCCTAAGCCCCTAAACCCTAGACCCTCGGACCCGAAACCCTTGATAGGTGGTGCAGAACTCTATCATCCTCGGTCCTGGCTGGATCGCCGGATGCACAGCCATCGCACCACGACAGCGGAAGAGGGGACATAGAAGGGTTTAGGGTATATACCTGGACCCCAAAAGTATGTAGAAGAATAGCCTTTTATGGGTACTGGCCCATGATTCTAGCTACTTTGGAGGGTTTAGGTAGGGTTTAGGGCAAAGGCTCTGGGGGTTCTAAGAACTCCGTAGCTTGAGGTTTTGGGGTTAAGCGGTATCTATACGTTTTTTGGGCCTTTGCGTTCTTGTGAGCCTTTGTGTTCAGGCTCAAGGTTAAGGTTTTTGGGTTGAAGGTTGGTTGCTTCGAGCTTGCTAAGTTTAGATTTGGGGGGTTTGGGTTTAGGGGTTTAGGGTTTAGGTCCCAAAACCGAAATCAAACTGTTTTGCAAATTACGCCAGGGGTTAGCGCTTGGGGTTCAAGACTTGAGATTCTTGTTTGCGGTGTGTTTAGTGTTCCTAAACTACTAAATGCTGTATGAGTGAGTGGCTCAGGAACTTGTTTGGGCTGTAAGTGGTTTGCTGCTCAAGTGTTTTACAGTAACGCTTTTAAGATCTAGGGTCGTAGGTGTCAAGATTGTAGGGCAGGGCTGAAGGTGTCAGTGATAAGCTTCTCAGGGTTTTGGGATAGTATCGGCGGCGGGGCAGTTCTTCATCAAGTTTATGTCTGCATACTCCCTCTGATTCTGACGGTCTGATATCCGACCTATAACCCCAAACCCGAATGTAACCTGGGGCAGGATTCAGGACATAGGGTTTGAAGCAGTGCAGAAGAGTGGTGGCTCATAGGTTACAAAAGCGGTGCCGCGGCCATCTGCCGCCTTTGGCCATGGTTTGGGAACCAACATGAAGCACACCCCAAGCCTCAAACCCGAAACCCTCATACCCATCTCCGAACCCAAAATGCCATGCCCTGAAAACCCAAACCGTAAACCACAACCTCTAGAGCAGGCGTGACTGTTTAATCTTGAAAGCTGTGAGGCGTGCCCCAGTACCCAACCGAAGCACTCGGCACCCTAAGTTTCTATATCCTACAATGGCGTAAATAGATCTGAAAGATAGACCCTGCCCTAAGCTCAACCCTCAGTCGCAGTCCTGAACATTAAACCCTGCCTGACACCCGAATGAAAGGCTGTTGGCTCTTTGGGAGGTTTGGCTCCATTGTGCCCGGTCTTGATGCTTGGCCGAACCTGCAACACTGGTGGCTTTGGGGCGGTGTAGGTTGTTG